GGTTTCCTGTTTCATATGTCACTCGACTCGGGACGTTTCGCCAATCGATTGACGTGTAAACCACTGTATAGAATAGCACCAACCAAGTACGATTTTAATTTGGAAGGAGCAATTGAAACGTTAAAATATTCAGAGACATTTGCAACAAATCGACGACGAATAAAATCAACAAGCCCGGTGGGAGATGGGGATACAAGTAACAGACATGATGAACATATCATATAAAAGGAAAGAAGAATTTCGGAAGACAAATTGTATTCAAATAAAAGCAGTATTATTAACATTTATTTCTCATATCTTCTATTATATGAATACTTTCATCTTGGCGGCCATCTTGAAAGACGTCATCATGAAATGATGAATCACGGATAAAAAACCGACCCGACCCCAGGGCTGTCAGCGCCCATAGTACTGGGTTACGTATATATATCTTACCAGATATTATTATACTGATGCGTTACTTACAGACTTGTACACAATAACATGACAGTAAACACTCACCTCTATATCCTCCGTCATCTGACTACCGGGGCGACGTGCTAAACGACAAGAATGGTCCGTCTCCTTCCTCGTTGCCATAAGGTGGGTGGCGGGCAACCAGTCAACTTCCGTATGACGATTACATTATGTTCATTACCAGGATGAATTTGAGAAACAATAGCCACAGTTTTCTGTATGGGTTATCAAAAGTTCTCTTCTCTCGCACGTTTCTAGGAGATTAATATTTCTTGTCCTTCCCGGAAATCGTATAGATAGCATGCCTTTCAAATTGACAGGCTGTACATGCATCAATCCTGTCAGATAAAAAGAGTAGCTGGACCACGCCCTCCCAATCCAGGCAAAGATTCTGTCAAATTCTAATATATTCATATAATCAAAGAAACAACCTGATGAGAGCGGAACATAAAACAAAGCAGTTCCGTAAACATAATACAATTTATGTAATAAAACTGGCTGACAACGGTCTGGTAGTGGTCGTCACAAATACGGAAGTCTATACATATACTCAGGAGGTCGATCCTCCATTGAGTCTTTCTACCATAAAGGTCGACACCGATCTAACTTTAGAACATGTCAGGAAAAGCGAAAGGGGGAAGATCAATTAGGAAACAAACAATTAGTTCTTGTATTATATTGTATGAAGTGGTGAACATTATAGATTAATAAGATACGTAATGATGAAACGTATGAAAAAGTAGGTCTGAAAATAATACATTTAGAATTATTATAGTGGTCTTGAAAACACATGTGCAATACGTATATAAAGAAATAATTTGGCACATTAGTTGAAAACGTATTTTTATCATTTGTAATAAACAGCTCATGTACAAGAAAAATAGAAACAAAAATATTACAATAACCTAGACCACTTCATCCTCGATACTCCAGGGGTTACGCTCACTTTCGCTCTCTGTAACCCTGGAATATGTAGTTTTAGAACATAAGACTTTAGGGTATATTTTGCTTGAATCTCAGATGGAAAGAATTCCAAGTTGTTTGGAATTATCATGTGATTGCAGTTTGATTATAAAAAAATAAGACCCTGACTTAGCCCAGGATTTTAAGGGGTGGGAGCCAAAAAGGGTCAGATTGGTTAAAAGTTCTTCTTCTTCATACCCAGATACTCTACAACTAAATCCTCTTCATCAAAATTAAAAAAAAAGCACTACATATGTACCCCTGGGTAACCTATTGTTCTCTGGGAAGGGGTTAAGTTTTATTATATCATATCATAAGATTTCATTATTTCAGTTTATTCTGACAATTGCCCGCTGTATATACATGTATATGATATATGTTAGTCACTCCCGTGCGTCATTATGCCAGGGAAGCTACATATGGATTGTATGCAATATCTGGTTTTTGTCACATCACAGCAACAAATAACAATTGTATTAACACTCAAGTGACCGTTTAGGTCCATGGGTATTTTGTTATACTGTAAATGATAAGCCACTTACATTACAAAGAAGCGTATTCAGGAACAAATACAACTCGGAATTGTTTTATCATTGGTTGTATGGTGCATAGTCATGTGTATTACTGCTTCAGTGCAGATGTATAAGTGCATGGGCGGATTCCTAATACACTGTATACGTCATATGTATGTGTATCTTACTTCATGTGTATGTGTATCTTATGATGTGTGTATGTAAGTGAACGGATGGGGTTGTGTACATATTTGTATGGTGCATAAATCAAGGTACTGCTTAATTGTATGTATTGTAATTCGTCATAGATATTAAAAACTATTTAAACTATATAAACTAAACATTAAATAAATGCGACTCCCCATTGACAGGAAAGTCTACCTTTTATCTAACAGTCAGGCTGTTAATCCTTGTAAACATGTTATCAAATCAATCGTTCATCATACACAGATATCTTAGGTCGCTGACATTACACCTGAGGTCACATGTAGAGGACATACCATCCTACTTCAAAGATACCACACACTATGTTAATTAATAAGACACAATCTAGTAATCTTTATATACGTTATCATCATCTACACAAATAGTATATCCCTCACCTGGGCGGCATTGTATAACCTGTCTGCTGCTGAGATCAACGTAACAAAACAAAATCAAACCTCCTTCAACAGATAGCTTCATAAAACAATTAGACAATCACCACTGACTATCTGACTTAGGTAACTCTAATGATATTGAAGATGACTTTCATTTTATATTAAAGTGTAACTTTTATAACGACTTGAGGCGCGAGTTTACTAAGCCTTTTTATTACAAACGACCAAGTGTTTTCAAGTTGATTCAGTTATTTACTACCCAAAACATTAAGGAATTGAATAAATTAGGAAAATTCCTGTTTTTAAGTTTATAACGTCGTAATAGCACTGTTAATATTTTATCCCATTTTTCCTGTAAATGTACATTTCAGTATACCAGATTTGATAAGATATTTGTATTATGTGTATTGTGTAAAAAAAAAAAAAAAAATGATTGTGCCCGTTCATTACCTTTCCTATGTGATATAAAATATATGGTAAATTAATCATAATTAACAACGTCGAAACATCGACGAGTATTTTTTATATTGCAATATTACAGTCACTAACGTCAAGTGTAACATCGTATTTATTACACTATGGCAGTGTATGTTATTGTTCTTTACTGTTCTACTAGATTGTATTTATTCGTGACATCTGTGCGATACAATGTATGTAACTATATTAAATCCTGTTATCATTACCTGTAACGTACGTCATTGATTTTTTTTTTTTGTAATGGTTTTATTTTTCCAAGTTTTTCATTACATATACATAAATAGGATATTCACGCATTCTCACATATACACACACCGACATGGATTTAGCATTATCACAATCAATTTCATTGTCATCATAATATCATCATCAACATATCATCGTCAACATATCATCATCATCATTCATCTTTATCATCTTCATCATCCTCTTTCATATATAATTATTCAATCATCATCATTGCCATAACGTCATTGAAATTTATCATAGTATTATTATCATTGTAAAATACTATTGTTATGATTTCACTGTATCGGAACCTTACGATGTTGGTGTATTTCAGTGTAAAATGCTGTCTCTTATGATATATGTCATTTTGTAGTACTGCACGATTAATGAGTTATCACGTATGCCATTGTACAATATGCGTCATATTTCATTTGACTAGTATTGTATACATGTATCATTGTAAATTTGTAATATACTGTACTATTTGTATGTCTACTCTCCGATTTGTCCTACACAAGGAATAAAACAATCCTAATCTGAATCTGACTGGGGACTTGGACTGTATCCCTCATTGGCTATTGGATTTGCTAAGAAAGCGAACCTATCAGCTGGTACAAATGCAATTCACCTTGTCAACAGCTCAGCGATAGGAAAACTTCGGATTTTTATGGAAATTGTATCTTAATCATCGTATCGATGCATCACCCAAATAGGAAAAGTGTAAAAAAAAAAATGTATCCGTTTTCCGAGCGAATATGTGAAGTGTGGGCTGTAGATAACTTTGTCTTTTATTGACTTTAAACATATTTTATTGTCCAAAATAGGTATAAAGGATTAGGCACAAGTTATAGCAACTTATGAGGCCATCTCCTATCAACAAAATATTTCATATATATACAAGTGATGACAGACAATTAACTTCAAATTCAACAATTGAAAGAAGTCAATTACATGTAAATTGTAATAAATATATACATATAGTTTATGTTCAAAATCTTCCGCTTGATTTTATGAAGGACTGCACATGTTTGAATATATTAAAATTAACATACAAAGCCAGGTTTTCATCGCAAAAAGGTAACAAATTTAAGCTAATTTGCATACTTAAGCCATTAAAAGCTTGAAGCATTACTGCACGAGCATTTCAAAAAAGAAATGATAAGCATTTTCACAATGGTGCCCACAATTTACTCAATTAGAATTCTGAACTAAATTAACCCGGAAGAGATCATCTTTAAGAGAGATACATTGATGTCTTAGTCTAGTATTCATAATATTTCTTTTTCTTTCGCCATACCTATAGTAACAACAAGTGCCGACTTTTGGGAATATATGTCTTTTAATTATTAGGCTATTATGACATTATTGTTTTGTTTTGTTTTGTGATGTATGCTTCCTTTTGTAATATCTTAATCGTATATTTGTCGCTTTAAGTTTTGAATTGTATGTGGTTGTTTATGATAGAAGTTAATTGTAAGTTTACGGCTAATTATATTGTGGCGCGGTAATATAAGTGCGTCAGATTTCAGTATTCAAACTGGATTATGAATATCTTCTCACACAAGTGAAAGAGTCGCAGTTTTGTCGACATGTATACGAGGTAACTCATAAAATTGTACATAAATATTATATATATATGTAACTACTTTAATTATAACTTGTTTCGTTGAAGTTAAAATGAACTAGTGTTTAATTACCCTTCAAGGGGCCTCTTTGTATTAGCTTCTGTAAATAACCGGAAGTAGAACTCTTCGTTCGACGAAATCTTCGCGGACAACCCAAAACAACTAGACGTCATAACTAATATTTGTTGATATCACCTAAATTTCTCCAGAAATAATGGCAGCAGACTCACCCAAGAGGTCATCGAAGTATTATCAGAATGTCGTTCGACCACAACCGTTCAGGTATGGTAGATAAAACAAAAGCAACCAGTCTGATTAACGCATAATGTCTGTGTATTTGCTTGAAAAAAATCGTTTCGAACAAAGTCGTGTCAACAAATTATCAACAGCTGATCGGAATCATCTTCTCTAATGGCGACCAAAGCTGTCCACTTGAAGAAAGATTGCTCAAATTTGTAAACCCAAACGACTCCAATGGAGAAATTCTTTTTTGATTAAATGTAGAGTTAGAACGAGTAATTGACACGGCAGTTTTGATATGAATTGATGAGGTGTGCAAATGTCATCAGGTCGAATTTCCAGGTCACAAGCTATGAGTCGTGTAATGAACCTGATCGATCCATCAAATATACAGTACATACGCAATCTCGCCATGGCGATTGCTATGGCCATTTAAGACTTCATAATAAAACCAAATTTATTCAGATCGTATCGAGCTTGACATCATCATTTTCACATGGGACATTACAACAGTCACAGTAAATATTTAGATTACTTAACTATGTTGTAAAATTTACAATTTACGTTTTCAACACATATATTGTATGATAAATCCTCTTTTATAGTATGTGGTTTCAGAGAAAAAAATAAATTTAGAATATTACATACCACAAGTTTGAAAGAGGTTCTCAGGATTTCAATGACCAAGACTTTTGAAAAAATCCTCTTTCTGCGTTCGTACCTATACTAAATTTTAACGCCTAAACTAAAGTCCCTTTTTAAGAAATAAATGAGTACTGTTAAAGTCTGTGGTGCTGTTGCTCAATAGAGAAATACCCTAACACTATGTTTAATTATTTTTTCTAAAGAATTTGCAAAGTAAACAGTATGGTTCTAATTTTTTCATTTTTTTTCAGAGCCGAAGGCAGAAACACAATTTTTTGTTGAAATACAAAATTTGTTTTGTTTGGCTTGAAAATCAATTAAAGCAACATTGGTAGTTTCAAGAATCAGGAAAGTGTCCTATTATAAATTAAAGTCATGCACAATTCCACTTGCCTGTCATCTGAGACAAAATTTGATACAGCCTAGGACTAGGGAAATTAAAAATAGAAAGTGTTTGCTATGAAATTATGGATTGGACTAGTAGAATTTTTCAAAGTCTGCAGCTAGCACTTAACTCTCACTATAAAATTTTACACCTCTGTCATGTCATAAAACTGAAAGTGATTTATTTACTGTTGGTAAACAACTAATATGATCAGCTCAGTGTCATTATAATTATATTTTCACCTCCTTTGCGATCATTGTGTTGATAGACAATTGCCTGTGTCTATTTCAGGAGGTTCAGGATCTTGATTATTTTGTCATAAATTTTCTCTTTTGGTAGCACTGTATATTATAATGCATCTCCGATGTTTTTGACCCACCTGAACATGATGTTACTATCACTTGCATTATATCATCTATTTTAAAGTATTTCCTACAGGTACTATTCGTTCTAACTTATTTTTCAAAATAATTTTACAAAATTTGTAAACAATAATCCTACCTAACTTGGGTATTTGTAGGTACATATGATAGATGTTTATGACTCACTAGTTATAATAATCCCTCTGGTCTGTTGAATTGAAATAATAACTAAAAATAAAAAATCCTTTTCCTTTGTATTCTTGTTAGTGGATGTGATTGTTTTTATTAGCAGATATACAATATTAGACTAGCAAGGCTCTGATCATGATCTGTACATGTATTATATAATTGTGTTTCTGTATCTTGTTTCAGTGATAAGACAGTTATGGAGAGTGTGGTGGATTTCATCTCCGATGTAGTCCCACAGGTAGTGTATTGATGTAGTCCCACATGTAGTGTATTGATGTAGACCCACAGGTAGTGTATTGATGTAGTCCCACAGGTAGTGTATTGATGTAGATCTCCAGGAAGTGTATTGATGTAGACCCACAGGAAGTGTATTGATGTAGTCCCACAGGTAGTGTATTGATGTAGATCCACAGGAAGTGTATTGATGTAGTCCCACAGTTAGTGTATTGATGTAGACCCACAGGAAGTGTATTGATTTAAGAGATATATGTGGGGATAATAGAAAATGGTAAGAAGTCAGTACATCACCTCATTCAAGGAAAGGTCCTGCTTACCTTCTGTGTATGCTTGAATCAAATCTATCAGCGATGTAGGATTTAGAACAACCCTGATATGAACTAGTTTTATCTGGATAGCTGTTTCTTTCTAATCCTTCAAATGCCTCTTTAGCAAAAAAGGTAAAAAGTTGTAAGTCTTTCTTTTACCATTCATTAATGTGGAACCAGCAAAAATGTAGAACTAATGTGGCAAAAGGGTTTTGGTTATGCTAGTACTCTTTATTTTATTTGAGTAAATGTGGAAAAATCAGAACTAAAGACAAAACATGCTTCGTTTCATCAATATTGATCTAATATAGAAATTAGTACTTAGTGCATTTCCAAAACATAAAGGAGAACAGACTTTTGAGCCTCTCTAAAACAAAGGGTCAAGTCAGGACTAAAACAAAGGGTCAAGTCAGGACTAAAACAAAGGGTCAAGTCAGGACTAAAACAAAGGGTCAAGTCGGGACTGAAACAAAGGGTCAAGTCATGACTAAAACAAAGGGTCAAGTCAGGACTAAAACAAAGGGTCAAGTCAGGACTAAAACAAAGGGTCAAGTCATGACTAAAACAAAGGGTCAAATCACGACTAAAACAAAGGGTCAAGTCATGACTAAAACAAAAGGTCAAGTCACGACTAAAACAAAGGGTCAAGTCACGACTAAAACAAAAGGTCAAGTCACGACTAAAACAAAGGATCAAGTCACGACTAAAACAAAGTTAAGGGTCAAGTCACGACTAAAACAAAGGGTCAAGTCACGACTAAAACAAAAGGTCAAGTCACGACTAAAACAAAGGGTCAAGGCACGACTAAAACAAAGGGTCAAGTCACGACTAAAACAAAGGGTCAAGTCACGACTATTGACCAAGGAGTTTTCCTCAGCAGCCAGGTGCTTACAAATATAAGTAAGTTTATTACTATGTTTGTAAAGCACAGGGGGGTTTATATGTGTATTTTGACAGGGATCCTCCAACCCCCATATCTATACATAAATAGTAAATACACATAGGTACAGGGTTTGGGGGATTTATGCCAAGCCCTTGTAGTTATAAGCTTGAATAGACGGAATACCTGTATATATCTCCAAATGTTTATCATATTTATTGGATTTGGACATAGCAAGGTTTCATTGTAAATGTATACATCAATTAAAATATATCAGTATCAAATTTAACTAGACTTCTCTATTAATACAGGACATGAGTTGTTACTTTAGAAGGTAACACTTACCACACATCATTACCTGAAGCTCAAACCGCCTGGTAAATTCCATCATTACAAGAATGTCCAAATATAAAACTTCAGTAATTTGGCTGTACATAAATCAAATGACATAATTTGGAATGGTGCATTTGTTTCAGCTAGACAAGTAAGATTATATTGTTCCATAAGATATAAGCAGGTATTTACTTGAATCAGTAATTACCTCCAAATTGGCAATCCCTGGCTTCAGGTCCAATGATTGCCATAGGGGACAGAAATCCTGTGAGGTCACCAGGCCTAAGGATTGCTATAGGGGACAGAAATCCTGTGAGGTCACCAGGCCTAAGGATTGCTATAGGGGACAGAAATCCTGTGAGGTCACCAGGCCTAAGGATTGCTATAGGGGACAGAAATCCTGTGAGGTCACCAGGCCTAAGGATTGCTATAGGGGACAGAAATCCTGTGAGGTCACCAGGCCTAAGGATTGCTATAGGGGACAGAAATCCTGTGAGGTCACCAGGCCTAAGGATTGCTATAGGGGACAGAAATCCTGTGAGGCAACCAGGCCTAAGGATTGCCACAGGGGACAGAAATCCTGTGAGGTCACCAGGCCTAAGGTTTGCCACGGGGGACAGAAATCCTGTGAGGTCACCTCACCAGGCCTAAGGATTGCTAAAGGGGACAGAAATCCTGTGAGGTCACCAGGCCTAAGGATTGCTATAGGGGACAGAAATATTAGAATGCATAACATTGTGTGAGATATTTGAATAGAATGTATTGTTTGAAATATTTGACAAGAAAGTATTGTATGAAACTTTCCATTTAATTTGCAGGCCTACAGTGGACATCAAAAACAGTTTGAAGACAAAGAAAAAATCCAATGGGTTCGCTTTGAGTCATCTGATGTAAATGGTGTGTTCTGGAGGTCTTTTCGATCACTTTATCTTAAATGTTAACAAATTAGAACTTAATTGTTTTTTTACTTCAGTACTTATTATTGAATGACAGCCTGCAGAGAGTTATATACAATGTCTCTTTTAAAGACAGAATATATAGCTATCAAAATGAATTGTAATGGGGTAACATACATTCTTGTAAACTAACTATGATAAAAATTTAACCTTATCCTATTTTCAGTTTGCTAATTAATATAACAGTTCTGCTATTCTTTACAATCATACCCTGTAAACTTCGATGTTTTGTGACATTAATTCTCATGGAGAATAAAAAAAAATGTTTGTAAAATAAATATCTTGTAAAGTTTTTAAATTTCTAACAAAGGCTATAGGTATGTTTGTAGTTTATAGTTTATAGCCTGGCTGGTAAAATGTTTGAACTTCACAGTACAATATCAACAAGAAGTACATAATTATAAAGTAATTAACTGTCTACTAACAATATACTGGGTTTGAAGGAATGACTGATGGTTTACTGTTACAGATATATGTAACAACCCCGACCTGACTGTAGGAGAAAACAAAGGAATTCCACTGTTGTTAATACTAGGTTATAGCAATGGAGTACAGATATGGAACGTTGTAGTAAGTTGGACAGATTTTACACTTTAAAGTAAGGAAATATTCTATTTAAGCTAATTAAGTTCAAAAATGACATGTTCGATTCACTTATATTGGTCTGAAAATAAATATAGAAAAGTAGAAAAAGTTAAGAAACAATATTTTATAAAGATTTCAATGGAGAAGTTTGTTTTAGAACTTAAAGTGTGCTCTATAAACAAAGTGTGCTCTATAAACAAAATGTGCTCTATAAACAAAGTGTGAAACGGGTTAAAATGGGTATTTATGCATCAATTACCTTAGATCTAAATGTTTTTCAGTCAGAATCCTAATGTGATGGTAAGGAAAACTGTGTGTCTTGTATTATGTGTAATAAACATGTTTTAATTGACTTTTGCACAGCCAAGTGGTGAGGCCCTAGAAGTTCTATCTTTACGACAAGGACCAATCAAAGTGGCCCGAGTACTGCCCACACCAGCTCCAGGTTAATGTATAAAATCATCTGTTACCGCAGCTCTTCCAATAACATTCCAGAAAAGCTGACAGTGTTCATTGTAATTAGTGATACAAATATGAATAAAGAATGAAGAGACCATCAGAGATGTGCGAACCTGATAAATATCACATATAAATACCAGTATAGGAAATTAGACATACAGAGTTATCTTTAGCTCAACTATGTTTACAATGCATGATGATGTTTTAGCTGAGATTGGAAATATTTCGTTATAATTTTGAAAATATTATATGTATATTGTTGAAATGTCTGTTGCAGTGAGAGGTGATACAGACCTGTTTCACACCCATAGACCTCTCATGGCTGTCTGTGATACTTCAAGGTATGTATTATAAAACGGAATGTATCTGTTACTATCATTGATTACCTGACTGTGATTTGTATCTGTTACAATCATTGATTACCTGACTGTTTACTGTGATTTGTATCTGTTACAATCTTTGATTACCTGACTGTTTACTGTGATTTGTATCTGTTACAATCATTGATTACCTGACTGTGATTTGTATCTGTTACAATCATTGATTACCTGACTGTTTACTGTGATTTGTATCTGTTACAATCTTTGATTACCTGACTGTGATTTGTCATAGGATCACTCAGTTTATATTATTGATATTTTAATGTTAGCTGTTGACTTTTCTAAAACCTGGTCTTAATCAAATACTATTGACATTATGTAAGAACAAGTAGACATCTTTAAATATTTGTTGTTGTCTTTAATAACCTTTAGAATATATACCTGTATGTAGTCATTACCTGGTAGATAACCTGTACAGTAATAATGTACATGAGTCTATTGTGATCCTGTGTGTATTGTAGTGCTGGCCAGCCTTACTGCTCAGTTAAAATTGTGTCGCTGAAAACTGGAGATGAGGTCCATTCCCTGAAATTCCCCAGCATTCCAGTCCTCAACATCGAGTGCAATAAACGGTACGTACATTGGCGCAGTGAAACCTGTAGAAGTGAGCGCATGGTTGCCAATGAAATTTCAGAGTGAAACATTAAAATGACAGAGTGTAGGTATCAATGAAACTACAGAATAATACACATTTGCCAGCAAATAAAAAGATGTTAAAGTTTTACCGATGTATGTGTCAAATGATTGCCTGTGGTTTTGTCTGTACATGTTGAGAGATACTAAATACATCAAGAGATATAACAGTATTCTCCCCAGGTCATTATAGCTAATCTGGTTAACTTTTGCAACAATCGAATGTGATAACCTGCAATAATCTGTGTTTTTATTTTTTCATACATAAATACTGTTCTTGAGTATTTTCACAACTTGACAGATATAAGACTTGTCAGGCCAGTATTTAGTTTTGTCTATTTCGTTACGCCTAAGCTCTGTATGGAAAAATACATACCCAGATATATTTTCTAACTTCCTGGAATCCTGGGAGAATATTAATATGTAAAGGATATTATTTGATTATCTCCTTTTGTACTACAGAGAAAGGAGAACACTATATCAAGGACAATATTAAATTATCACCCTTTTCACTACAGAGATTGTGAGAATAAGGGTTATTAGATTATCTCCCTTTGTACTTTAGAAGGATTTTTTATTATCTCCCTTTGCACTATATCTATGAATAGAAAAAAATCTGCAAAGTTATGTATATGTGTGTTTCAGATACATTGTTTAATGTATACCTTTAAAATGCTTTAAAGAAATTCATATTAATGTATAACAAATGTACCACATGAACACAAGGTTTCCTTTTCTTTACAACTCATCGAGAACTACTGTAGAACCATAAAATTATTTAAGTTCTAACATGCATTTATTATTATAGTGTATTAGAAACTTATTCAGTACAAACTAGAATTTCATATGAATGATCTGTATCATATAGTTGTTGTATACAACATATAATTGTAGAAACTTAAATGAAAGTCTAGAGGCTTCAATGATCAAGTTACTGTCAAGCTGAAAACAAAACACCAGACAAGATTTATTAAACACATTACAAGGAGTATGAGTGTGTTTGTGTAAAACATATTTTATCTTACCAACCTCAAGTATTTGATGTCACTATTTTCACTTTGTGGCTATTGTCTCTAATGCAATGTCACGGTTCCATTATGTCATGGTTAGTGTCAGAATTCTGACATTTAATTTGCTGATGTGAAGTAACATTAAACAATATAACAGCATGTTTTAACTGCAAAACATGGCTATCATGTGATAATTATCTAATAACATTTTATATATTTTGAAATAATGTTCGTGTTTGTGATAAAGGAAGATAATCCATTATTGCCTAATAAATTTTAATATCATAATTTGGACACTACATAATGTGGATATCCCTCACTGACCTGTAGATTTTTATCATAGCAGGATCCAGAGTTATCAACACTTAATAAGCCAAACTTTCAAAATGACATTTCTCAAAATTGATTGCAACAACACCCATATTTTCTTGATTTCAGTCTGATGGTGGTCATTTTAAATTCAAGAATGTTCCATTTTATGTGACATAGTTTTCATTTTTATATAAATGTAATGGAGCTAGATACAACAGATTCCCGGATATCAAAAATATTGTTAATGTAATGTTGAGTAATGCACCATTCCAAATGTTGAAGTTGAGAAATACATAATTGTCTTTTGATACAAAATGTATCTTCTCTACTAAACATGGGAGGTTTTCTTTATTTGTTTGTTTTATTATTTTTTTGTCATGTGGAGATAATGTATAGTTAAATATAAATATGTTGTACATTAACAAACTTATTACTTGACAGGGTGTTAGTAGTCACTTTCCAAGAGAAGATTTGCATATTTGATGCATGTACCTTTAAGCAAAGGTTTTGGGTGACAAGTAAGTAGAAAACATGTTTATCAAGGTTTTGGGTGACAAGTAAGTAGGAACCATGTTTATCAATGTTTTGGGTGACAAGTAAGTAGGAAACATGTTTATCAAGGTTTTGGGTTACAAGTAAGTAGAAAACATGTTTATCAATGTTTTGGGTTACAAGTAAGTAGAAAACATGTTTATCAATGTTTTGGGTGACAAGTAAGTAGAAAACATGTTTATCAATGTTCTGGGTGACAAGTAAGTTGGAAACATGTTTATCAAGGTTTTGGGTGACAAGTAAGTAGGAAACATGTTTATCAATGTTTTGGGTTACAAGTAAGTAGAAAACATGTTTATCAAGGTTTTGGGTGACAAGTAAGTAAAAAACATGTTTATCAAGGTTTTGGGTGACAAGTAAGTAGAAAACATGTTAATCAATGTTTTGGGTGACAAGTAAGTAGGAAACATGTTTATCAAGGTTTTGGGTTACAAGTAAGTAGAAAACATGTTTATCAAGGTTTTGGGTTACAAGTAAGTAGAAAACATGTTTATCAATGTTTTGGGTGACAAGTAAGTAGAAAACATGTTTATCAATGTTCTGGGTGACAAGTAAATAGGAAACATGTTTATCAATGTTTTGGTAAACTCTTTTATGATTAACCTTTTTCAATTGTCAAGTGTAAATAAAATCAAACTTAAATTGGTTTTTGATAAATAAATTGCTGTATTTGTCATTTAAATTGTGTTTTAAGTAGTATGCTCATGTGTTGTATTAGGTTGCTTCCCCTGTCCAGGACCTGACCACAATCCAATAGCCTTGGGCATCAGGTGGCTAGCTTACGCAGACAAACGGGTAAGTACATGGTGTTAGGTGGCTAGCTTACACAGACAAACGGGTAAGTACATGGTGTTAGGTGGGTTAGCTTACGCAGACAAACGAGTAAGTACATGGTGTTAGGGTAAGTGAAAGTTTCCAGTCCTCTTGTTACAATACATGGGGTTTCCCTTAAACAAACAAGCTTTCAAAAGTGGAGTTTAGGTGAAGACTGGTACCTTTGATACGGGACTGATGTATCAGTTATGAAGGCAGATTCCTGTTGTTTAGACTGTGACTGTGTGTTGTAGTTGGTGCCAATGCATCAGTCCTGTGGAGGGATGTCAGGAGATGGAGCTCAGTCCTATGCTGCCACAGTAATCAGTGCAGCTAAGGTAAGTATAACTTAACTCACTGAGTGACTTTTATAAGTTAATCGTTACTTTGATGTTGTGTATATATGCTGTAGAGAACTGGGCCCATATTCATTAAACCGTTTTCATGCTCAAGCCTTGTACTGTAAAGATAGACAATTTTGCAGTATAGAAATACTTGCATTGGGTAAAGTAGCACAACAAAATCCACTTTTAACGACATTGAACGATTATACAGATGATAGAGCATAAAATGTAAAGAATTTATAGACTTCAGAACTATTTCCAGTGTGAAAATGTTCACACATGATCATTTTATTGTCATTAAAACAAACATTTCTACATGGGATTTTCTACTTTTACCGTTATATATATATAGTTAAATATTGTTAAACTGCAATCAATTGTCCAGAAGAATTTTAATATTACAAAGATTTGGCATAATATATTGAGGTAGGCCTATAATGGGAAAGTAGAAAGGTAGACAGCACCTTAGAATAAACAATTCTAGACAGTTTTGAAACGACAACATCATATTGACGTTTTACTGAAGATATGAGCATCCTAATAAGTAACTTGATATAAAATATGATAGAATTATCCACATTAAATTTATCCCATCAGGATTTAGTAAGGCCAAAAACAATGTGTGTATCGGGTATCCCAATCTACCCTAGATTTTCCTGCCGACCCTAGAAAGATTAATTTATTAGCCAGGCAAAGTTCACAGCCGCTCATTAAAAAGTACTTTCTTCCTGTTCTGGGGATGTGACCCTATTCTTGACCAATTAACAACCATTGTAATGTGTGGAAATGCATTGTAAAAATTGATATATAGCCTAATATTGATCGATGAACATGAAAAATTAAAATTAAAATCAAATTATTTGCCCACCTACCTGCCGTATTATTTTCAGGCATGATACCTGAAATACACATATCTCCGAATTCTATATGATATGGCTGCATATACTTATATTCAAATACCTAAAATTGTAGCTCTGTTAGTTAATATTAATGTGATGACAATATAACTACTGATACAATATAACTACTGATGTTGACTACAGGGTGCGTTTAAGGGCCTGACAATGTTTGGTGAGGCGATGGTGAACAGTGTTACAGGCTGTAAACCCCAGCCAGTGAAAAAGTTGGAGCACAGCTGCCAGGATGTCAATGGGTTCCACCCAGGAATAGTTTCTATCATAGACCTACAGACCATTTCTACAGAACATGTAAGGAACAAACAGACCCTTCTACAGATTATTAACTCTCTGGAAAATATGCTAAAAGTAGAGCAGGAAATAGTTGAAATCATGAATAGAAATATGCTAAAACCTGAACAGGAAATAATTGAAATTATGAATATTCCTATTCGTAAAATTTGATAAAATAAAATAATACGTACAAGTGTATGTTATAATATCATCAACATGTGATCTGTCAAGATGTGGTTTGTTTAAAGCCATGAAGAAAAATTGCATTGGAATGTGGTTGCACTTTTTATAAAGAGCATATTTTCATTTTTTAAAAGAGACAGTGATTGTAATAATTCTTTTAATATTCTGCCTTAATGAAATTTCAGTATCAAACTTATACGATTTTATAATATCTAAGTGCTTAGTATAGAGGTATTACAAAAAATCTCAGTTTGACAGAGATATATACATTAGTATAGTATTTATTCGTGGCATAGATATATAAAATTAATATGACATAATTAGTCATTCAATTTTGCGTTTCCAGTTTTGTGTTGGTGAGGAAAATGAAGGCGATGGACTCATAGCACACTTTCATGCTCATGCAAATGAACCAGTGGCCAAAATGGCATTTGATAGTTCCGGGACATTGCTGCTGACAGCGTGTAAACTAGGCCACAACTTTCACGTGTTCCGTGTAATGGCACATCCATGTAGTTCCTCACTGGGAGCTGTACATCACCTGTACACGCTGCACAGAGGGGAGACAACTGCAAAGGTACAACAAACTTCACTTTGGACAAGAACAGTTATTTGAATTCATTTGAGATTATTTGTTTTAAGATAAATCCTTATTTTTGTTGATATTTACATTTGCATCATAACTTGTGATTTATTTGCATTTTGGTTTGATTGTAATATTTTTTTCAAATCTTTCCATTTAGTCAAATAATGCACATCAATATATTATTTCCTTGTGACACTTAACCCCTCACCCAAATCTACTGTGTATACCATTGTTGATTACAACAGCCATGGCCAAGTTTAAAGGAGAGAAAAAAGAAAATATTTTTGGTAACCGCAAATAGAGCAGAAGTTTCCTGAGAAACAATCAAATTTAAAAGAAGAAATTGTTACTTGTTTTGTATGTTTTAGGTAGTAGATATAAGCTTCAGTCAGGATAGTCGCTGGATCACGATATGTACTCACAGAGGGACCACCCACGTATTTCCCATCACGCCATATGGAGGCAAGTGTAGCAGGATCTGATAAATAGGACTACTTTCATATTGCAGAATACTAAGGTTCACATCTGACTTCTAATCTGAAATAAAATTCTTGTAGGAATTTTAATTAATTTTAATTATCTGTAGCACTCCTTTATTAATATCTGTAGCACTCCTTTATTAATTTGTCATACAATGGTTGATGTCCTCTGTCGTTGGTGTATTTTTACAGGTGCAGTGTCCAAGAGAACACACTGTTCTTCGCGTGTTGTTAATAGAGCTAGTCGATTTCACAAGAGTGCAGGCCTGGACGAGATGCAGCAGGCAACCGGTCGCAGTAGTCCTGTATTGTCTGCTAGTCCTAGTAGTTCCTCAGGTACGTTACACGCACACTGATTCCCATACATACATTTGCACGGTCATTGGAATATTATTTAATATGTAACAATTACATTTGTTTGATAAAGATTAAGTATACTGATATTTTAAATTAACAGAGATATAAACAGTATGGCCCCTTCTGATACCTGTATTTTCAGGTGAGATGGAAATATAAACACTAGTGGATGCTTAGAGGTTATCATTTGACCATTTTCATATCCTCCTTCATAGACACTAAACACTTACTGATATATGGATTAGACATACTGATATTTAGATCAACAGAGAAATGCTATACTTCATATAATTAGTCTGTCTTATTATATCAACAGAGAAATGCTATACTACATATAATTAGTCTGTCTTATTATATCAACAGAGATAGATACTATGACACATACTTTATATAAGTCTGTCTTATTATATCACTAGAGATAGATACTATGACACATACTTTAACTAGAGTGTGAAATGTTACAGGTCACTTTGAGAGCTACCCGAGTCTGATGAGACAGATTGTGATGAGCAACAACACCGGAAACCCACGTCTACCACCATACCCTCACCCTACAACACTGTACGCTCTGTCACAGATAAAGCAGCCCCTCCTACTCACCAATAGTGTGGCAGGGGCGAAGAACCAGAGCCCCTCCCACTCACCCCTGGGGGCAGACAGTGTATTGAGTGTGTGCTCCCATTTCTCCACCCCACGACTGTGGGTCGGGGGTAGCACTAGTGTCACTGTAGACAGACGAGGTTAGTATGAGGTCAAGGTCACTATATATATAGATTTAAACAAGATAGAAAATAACTATATTCATTCCATAGTTCAGCCTACCTTGGTGAAAGCTGTGATGTAGACATCATTCATAAAGCTGTGATGTAGACATCATTCATAAAGCTGTGATGTAGACATCATTCATAAAGCTTGTAACTTTAGTAGAGCTTCAGTGTGGTGGGCCCACGTACAGGTCACCAATACTGCTCGTGTTCAAAACAGTAATATTGGCTTCAGTGTGGTGGGCCCAAGTACAGGTCACCAATACTGCTCGTGTTCAAAACAGTAATATTGGCTACATTTCAGTGTTTCACTATTTTGCTTTCTAACTTTACTAACATGAGATAGCTCTCAAGATTATCAAATGACAACGATTGATGTTAGTTGCACATAAATGATAAGTTAAAATGCTGACAGGCTCTTTCAAATAAAGCAACACAAGTTTTGTGATGTGACAGGCCTGTACACTGGTGTATTGTGTTGTATCTATTTGTTGTAAGGGTAAGCCTGCCGGGGATTGCCTGATTTTGATACATCAGAATGATACACTTTTTATACGCCAGTCAAATTTGACGGAAGTATTGTGGTGTGGGGTTGTCCGTCCGTCCGGCATAAACTTTTGTTTGTCCGGCAATCTTCTCCTACATTTTTCGACCGATCTCTTTGAAACTTGGTATACATTATAATCATGATATGTTGTTGTGTTTCCTTGAAAAGAATTTTGATTCAAAAATTTTGCAAAAGTTCTTGCCCTTTATTTATTTCAGTATTTGATTTTTGTCCGGCATCTCCTCCTACATTTTTCAACAGATCTCTTTGAAACTTTGTATACAATATAATAATGATATGAAGTTGTGTCTCCTATAAAAGAACTTTGATTCAACGATTTTTGCAAAAGACATTGCCCTTTGTTCATTTCAGTATTTGTTTTTTTGTCCAGAGATTTTCTTCTACATTTTTTATAGCATGTCAGCTAACCAGTCTTTGAATGATGCAGATCTTATTTCACTGTAAGAAAGTATATCACACTATATGGCATTCGACGGGTGTATATTGTTTAATATGATATATTTGTGTTTTGTTGAAGTGCGCTGTAGACTCCCTGTTTGTGATGTGACAGACTGGTACACTGTTGCAGTATGTTATGTACGTGTGTTGTAGAGGGTAAGCGTGTTACAGACTCTCTGTTTGTGATGTGACAGACTGGTACACTGTTGCAGTATGTTATGTACGTGTGTTGTAGAGGGTAAGCGTGCTACAGTCTCCCTGTTTGTGATGTGACAGACTGGTACACTGTTGTAGTATGTTATGTTCGTTTATTGTAGAGGGAAAGCGTGCTACAGACTCCCTTTTTGTGATGTGACAGACTGGTACACTGTTCTAGTATGTTATGTACGTTTGTTGTAGAGGATAACCGTGCTACAGACTCCCTGTTTGTGATGCGACAGACTGGTACACTGTTGTAGTATGTTATGTTCGTTTATTGTAGAGGGAAAGCGTGCTACAGACTCCCTTTTTGTGATGTGACAGACTGGTACACTGTTATAGTATATTATGTACGTTTGTTGTAGAGGGGAAGCGTGCTACAGACTCCCTGTTTGTGACGTGACAGACTGGTACACTGTTGTTGTATATTATGTACGTGTGTTGTAGAGGGTAAGCGGGTTACAGACTCTCTGTGTGTGATGTGACAGACTGGTACACTGTTGTAGGATGTTATGTACGTGTGTTGTAGAGGGTAAGCGGGTTACAGACTCTCTGTGTGTGATGTGACAGACTGGTACACTGTTGTTGTATGTTATGTACGTTAATTGTAGAGGGTAAGGACGCTACAGACTCCCTGTTTGTGATGTGACAGACTGGTACACTGTTGTAGTATGTTATGTACGTTTGTTGTAGAGGGTAAGCTTGTTACAGACTCCCTGTTTGTGATGTGACAGACTGGTTCACTGTTGTAGTATGTTATGTACGTTTGTTGTAGAGGGAAAGCGTGCTACAGACTCCCTGTTTGTGTTGTGACAGACTGGTACACTGTTGTAGTATGTTATGTAGGTTTGTTGTAGAGGGAAAGCGTGCTACAGACTCCCTGTTTGTGTTGTGACAGACTGGTACACTGTTGTAGCATGTTATGTTCGTTTGTTGCAGAGGGAAAGCGTGCTACAGACTCCCTGTTTGTGATGTGACAGACTGGTACGCTGTTGTAGTATGTTATGTACGTTTGTTGTAGAGGGAAAGCATGCTACAGACACCCTGTTTGTGATGTGACAGACTGGTACACAGTTGTAGTATGTTATGTTAGTTTATTGTAGAGGGTAAGCGTGCTCCAGACTCCCTGTTTGTGATGTGACAGACTGGTTCACTGTTGTAGAATGTTATGTACGTGTGTTGTAGAGGGTAAGCGAGCTACAGACTCCCTGTTTGTGATGTGTCAGACTGGCACACTGGTGGAGTATGGTAAGCGTGCTACAGACTCCCTGTTTGTGATTTTATGTACGTTTGTTGTAGAGGGTAAGCTTGTTACAGACTCCCTGTTTGTGATGTGACAGACTGGTTCACTGATGTAGTATGTTATGTACGTTTGTTGTAGAGGGAAAGCATGCTACAGACCCCCTGTTTGTGATGTGACAGACTGGTTCACTGTTGTAGAATGTTATGTACGTGTGTTGTAGAGGGTAAGCGTGGTACAGACTCCCTGTTTGTGTTGTGACAGACTGGTACACTGTTGGAGTATGTTATGTACGTTTGTTGTAGAGGGAAAGCATGCTACAGACACCCTGTTTGTGATGTGACAGACTGGTTCACTGTTGTAGTTTGTTATGTTCGTTTATTGTAGAGGGAAAGCGCGCTACAGACACCCTGTTTGTGATGTGACAGACTGGTACACAGTTGTAGTATGTTATGTTAGTTTATTGTAGAGGGTAAGCGTGCTCCAGACTCCCTGTTTGTGATGTGACAGACTGGTTCACTGTTGCAGTATGTTATGTACGTGTGTTGTAGAGGGTAAGCTTGCTACAGACTGGTACACTGTTGTAGTATGTTATGTACCTGTGTTGTAGAGGGTAAGCGTGCTACAGACGTGCTACAGACTCCCTGTTTGTGTTGTGACAGGCTGGTACACTGTTGTAGTATGTTATGTACGTGTGATGTAGAGGGTAAGAGTGCTACAGACTCCCTGTTTGTGATGTGTCAGACTGGCACACTGGTGGAGTATGTATGGGAGCCCCGACCCAAGGTTGTGGTAGACAAGGGGTCGGAGGAGACGCCCCTTGAGCTTCTAGCCACTGGATGTAGAGGGTAAGCGTGCTACAGACTCCCTGTTTGTGTTGTGACAGACTGGTACACTGTTGGAGTATGTTATGTACGTTTGTTGTAGAGGGAAAGCATGCTACAGACTCCCTGTTTGTGATGTGACAGACTGGTTCACTGTTGTAGTTTGTTATGTTCGTTTATTGTAGAGGGAAAGCGCGCTACAGACACCCTGTTTGTGATGTGACAGACTGGTACACAGTTGTAGTATGTTATGTTAGTTTATTGTAGAGGGTAATCGTGCTACAGACACCCTGTTTGTGATGTGACTGTGACAGACTGGTACACTGTTGTAGGATGTTATGTACGTTTGTTGTAGAGGGAAAGCATGCTACAGACTCCCTGTTTGTGATGTGACAGACTGGTTCACTGTTGTAGAATGTTATGTACGTGTGTTGTAGAGGGTAAGCTTGCTACAGACTGGTACACTGTTGTAGTATGTTATGTAGGTGTGTTGTAGAGGGAAAGCGTGCTACAGACTCCCTGTTTGTGATGTGACAAACTGGTTCACTGTTGTAGTATGTTATGTACGTGTGTTGTGGAGGGTAAGTGTGCTACAGACTCCCTGTTTGTGATGTGACCGACTGGTACACTGTTGTAGTATGTTATGTACGTGTGATGTAGAGGGTAAGAGTGCTACAGACTCCCTGTTTGTGATGTGACAGACTGGTACTCTGTTGTAGTATGTTATGTACGTTTGTTGTAGAGTGAAAGCATGCTACAGACGCCCTGTTTGTGATGTGACAGACTGGTTCACTGTTGCAGTATGTTATGTACGTGTGTTGTAGAGGGTAAGCGTGCTACAGACACCCTGTTTGTGATGTGACTGTGACAGACTGGTACACTGTTGTAGGATGTTATGTACGTTTGTTGTAGAGGGAAAGCATGCTACAGACTCCCTGTTTGTGATGTGACAGACTGGTACACTATTGTAGTATGGTATGTTCGTTTATTGTAGAGGGTAAGCGTGCTACAGACTCCCTGTTTGTGATGTGTCAGACTGGCACACTGGTGGAGTATGTATTGGAGCCCCGACCCAAGGTTGTGGTAGACAAGGGGTCGGAGGAGACGCCCCTTGAGCTTCTAGCCACTGGATATATACAATGGAACCTTCAAAGACCAAAAACAGCAGAGGAGATACGACCACCACTGGTATCCAACAACCCTTTGATGCAGGCCACAGAGGCTGTGACCACCCAACAACCAACAACTCTGCCAGGTAAATAACTGGTACTTTCCACTTTAATATTGTGTCAGGGTATTGACTATGATTTTAAAACCATTTAGAAACATGTAGTTATAGTTCTTATGTTACTGTACACCAGGCAATGTTTGCCTCAGTGTAACTTTTGCCTTTTTTGCACTTCCCAAATGAGGGCAAATTTATCATGACAGTGAATATTAGTACACAACATACAAAATATAGTAATGACAGTGTTTAAAATTTGAGGGCGAAATTAACACCAGGTGAACATGGATTTTATCAGCAAAGGGACAATATCTGACTGGGCAAAAGTTTCCCAGTACACAAAAGTCTTATGAGTTAGTGAAATCATACATATTTATGCTATTGGTTTACATGTTTTTATGTCAAAATATTACCTGTTGCAATAACTTCTGTTCTGGTAATATATCTTCGACTTTTTCTGTCAGCTCAACATCTCTATGTCATACATCTTTCCTTCCACAGATGTGTACACTGGTGACCTTGACCCAGTGACCCGGGCAGATTCAAAGGACAGTCTATCATCAGACCATGGTACCAAGGATATGGAGCTTCAGGAGCAGTGGTTGTCCCAGGTGGAGATTATAACACATGTTGGCCCCCACCGGCGCCTGTGGATGGGGCCCCAGTTCTCCTTCAAAACCTACCAGAATGTGCACAACACCACAGTCCTGTCCTCCAACTCTTCTGCTCTCCTCTCACAGAGTCCTGAGGCCAATGTGTCCGCTATGGACATTGTGTCTAATGAGGTTGACCTGGAAAGTCTAAAGTAAATCGCATATCATTATCCTATGTCATGGATTGCTCGTAAAATCATATGTTTATAAGTCACCTGTGGACTCAAAAAGTAGTCCTTGTCTACTCAAGTGAATTTTTATTACCTAAATTTGTATAAAAGCTTATAAATTCTTCCTTTAAGATGTTTAAAACTTCAAATAAACGTATTCAACCATGATAATTAAAATGATTTCTGCTGCAGGATACAACCAGCCCGCTCCAGTCCTGTTGCCATGCCAACAGCTCGACCAGCGTACCGACGCCTGTCAGGCAGTGATAGCACCCCACCCCCAGGGAAGGGCCCCTATAGTACAGCACTGCTTATAGAGGCTGGTAAGTCTTTTGTAGAATTCCTGTTTGATATGATGCATATTGGGTGTAAATGTTTGAAAATTTAGGAATTGAAGCAATGCAAGCTCTTTTAAAACTTTCATGCTGATTTCATCAATTTCAATATTTTAATTTTGATGCTACACTGATTTCTATAAAGAAGTATTTTTCAATGAAAAGAATGGTGTTGCAATCAAAGCACAGATTTTAGTTTAGTAATTAATCACGAAGTACAAATTTTGGTTTAATAACGAAGCACAAGGCACAGATTATGGTTAAGTATGGTGTCACAAAGTGCAGATTATTTTAGCAAGTAGATATCTTAGGTCTTTTCCATAATCAATCATACGGGGAGGTGGGAGGCACCTGTATTATTACATAAAGGATGGGGGTTTTAAAACCAGATCTACCTACAATTCCTCGTATTAGATCATATTAAATATTGGACGTGTGGTTTGGTCTCTGAAAAAGTGCCTCCTACCCCTCCAATACGGTTATTTCTGGAACAATCCTTATTAAATCCGACTTTTCCTACAGGGAGTTTTGAACTGTCACCAAACCTGTGTGATGTGTACAGTAGCTGGGCGGAGTCAACAGTTGCCAAGCAACCGAGAGGGAGTGAGGAGGAAGAGGACAGAATCAAGGAGACGTTAGCGGAGGCCATGCTGGAATCACCAGTTAAGGGAGGGGGTCCTTCTAGTATAAGTAACGGTAAGTTCTCCATCACTAATAGTGAAGCCTATATAAGCTTTCATGTACATGAGTTGGATTTAGATAAAAAAAATATATTTTATCAATCAAATCACAACTTTCTCCTAAAATCGCCTAAAATAGAAATAAGCCACAATTATTCTAATGATGATCAGCTGGGGTTTCACCATTTACACAAAAAATTAAGAAAGATGGGATTATTATTTAGAAACAGGTATAGTACACTATTAGATGGCCTGTCCTCTACATATATATATGATGCCAGATTAGTCTATAACTGATTGAGAGGAGTACCCAGGGACAAAGATAAAGTGGCAAAAAACTTCCGGGTTTGATCATATTCTCATTTAATTAAGGTGTCAATAATTATTTCTGATATCTATATTAGGAGAGTCTATGTTCTCTTGTCTTTATATAAACACATTCTATGCTTAATTAAAAGAATATAATCCCTCTTAAAGCATGTTACATATTTGGAAATACACAGACATATGATAATGTTTCCCAGTAATGCAGCGGTGGTTTATGTGCAGGATTAGTGAAGATATAAGCTTTTTGTTTAGTCATTTTATTCCAGGTTGCTGAATCATAAGTTTTTAATGGACTGGATGCGATAGCTCTGTGGTCAATTGCATAAAATATGAATTTGCTGTTGCATTAATTTTAAAATAACAATGCTAGAATATTTATGTTTAGATATCAACACAGAATATATTTAATGATCATTTTAATTGAATAAAAATTTAACAAAATATAATCATACATAGCTTAATTTGAAAATTCTGAACTGTCTGAAGAATTGGTAACATTAAACAGCCCTGTAACGCTTGTTGATGGAGAGGGTTGGGTTTACATGTATCTATAGATGAATTGGTAACATTAAACAGCCCTGTAACACTTGTTGATGGAGAGGGTTGGGTTTACATGTATCTATAGATGAATTGGTAACATTAAACAGCCCTGTAACACTTGTTGATGGAGAGGGTTGGGTTTACATGTATCTATAGATGAATTGGTAACATTAAACAGCCCTGTAACACTTGTTGATGGAGAGGGTTGGGTTTACATGTATCTATAGATGAATTGGTAACATTAAACAGCCCTGTAACACTTGTTGATGGAGAGGGTTGGGTTTACATGTATCTATAGATGAATTGGTAACATTAAACAGCCCTGTAACACTTGTTGATGGAGAGGGTTGGGTTTACATGTATCTATAGATGAATTGGTAACATTAAACAGCCCTGTAACACTTGTTGATGGAGAGGGTTGGGTTTACATGTATCTATAGATGAATTGGTAACATTAAACAGCCCTGTAACACTTGTTGATGGAGAGGGTTGGGTTTACATGTATCTATAGATGAATTGGTAACATTAAACAGCCCTGTAACACTTGTTGATGGAGAGGGTTGGGTTTACANTACATACTTCTCTCTGGAGGGGGTGTTGATGTGCAGACATTACACATTGTAACCGTACCTGGTACATACTTCTCTCTGGAGGGGGTGTTGATGTGCAGACATTACACATTGTAACAGTACCTGGTACATACTTATTAATTATGTTGGTCACAGGTAGGCTTGGTATCATGATGATATTCATTAGACCAGTGATTGGTCGGGAGCAGTGACAGAGTAAGGAGGTAAATTCTTGCCTTCTAAGTGTCAATGTTTGATACATTAATGCTTTATCTAAAAGTTGAATGTCATTTTACTCTTCATTGGTTTTCACAAGAAAGTTAGCTAGGACATGTAAGCTGGATGAAACCCTGACTGCAGTGTTTATCCTCATTATGTTACGACATGTAAATCCTGACTGCAGTGTTTATCCTCATTATGTTAGGACATGTAAACCCTGACTGCAGTGACATCGTAATACCCTGTCTGCAGTGTTGATCCTCATTATGTAGGACATCATAATACCCTGACTGCAGTGTCTATCCTCATTATGTTACGACATGGAAATCCTGACTGCAGTGTTGATCCTCATTATGTAGAACATGTAAACCCTGACTGCAGTGACATCGTAATACCCTGACTGCAGTGATTATCCTCATTATGTAGGACATGTAAACCCTGACTGCAGCATGTAAGCTGGATGAAACCCTGACTGCAGTGGTTATCCTCATTATGTAGGACATCGTAATACCCTGACTGCAGTGTTGATCCTCATTATGTAGGACATCATAATACCCTGACTGCAGTGTTTATCCTCATTATGTTAGGACATGTAAACCCTTACTGCAGTGTTTATCCTCATTATGTAGGGCATCGTAATACCCTAACTGCAGTGTTTATCCTCATTATGTTAGGACATGTAAACCCTGACTGCAGTGTTTATCCTCATTATGTAGGGCATCGTAATACCCTGACTGCAGTGTTTATCCTCATTATGTAGGACATCGTAATACCCTGACTGCAGTGTTTATCCTCATTATGTAGGACATCGTAATACCCTGACTGCAGTGTTTATCCTCATTATGTTAGGACATGTAAACCCTGACTGCAGTGTTTATCCTCATTATGTTAGGACATGTAAACCCTGACTGCAGTGTTTATCCTCATTATGTTAGGACATGTAAACCCTGACTGCAGTGTTTATCCTCATTATGTTAGGACATGTAAACCCTGACTGCAGTGTTTATCCTCATTATGTTAGGACATGTAAACCCTGACTGCAGTGTTTATCCTCATTATGTTAGGACATGTAAACCCTGACTGCAGTGTTTATCCTCATTATGTTAGGACATGTAAACCCTGACTGCAGTGTTTATCCTCATTATGTTAGGACATGTAAACCCTGACTGCAGTGTTTATCCTCATTATGTTAGGACATGTAAACCCTGACTGCAGTGTTTATCCTCATTATGTTAGGACATGTAAACCCTGACTGCAGTGTTTATCCTCATTATGTTAGGACATGTAAACCCTGACTGCAGTGTTTATCCTCATTATGTTAGGACATGTAAACCCTGACTGCAGTGTTTATCCTCATTATGTTAGGACATGTAAACCCTGACTGCAGTGTTTATCCTCATTATGTTAGGACATGTAAACCCTGACTGCAGTGTTTATCCTCATTATGTTAGGACATGTAAACCCTGACTGCAGTGTTTATCCTCATTATGTTAGGACATGTAAACCCTGACTGCAGTGTTTATCCTCATTATGTTAGGACATGTAAACCCTGACTGCAGTGTTTATCCTCATTATGTTAGGACATGTAAACCCTGACTGCAGTGTTTATCCTCATTATGTTAGGACATGTAAACCCTGACTGCAGTGTTTATCCTCATTATGTTAGGACATGTAAACCCTGACTGCAGTGTTTATCCTCATTATGTTAGGACATGTAAACCCTGACTGCAGTGTTTATCCTCATTATGTTAGGACATGTAAACCCTGACTGCAGTGTTTATCCTCATTATGTTAGGACATGTAAACCCTGACTGCAGTGTTTATCCTCATTATGTTAGGACATGTAAACCCTGACTGCAGTGTTTATCCTCATTATGTTAGGACATGTAAACCCTGACTGCAGTGTTTATCCTCATTATGTTAGGACATGTAAACCCTGACTGCAGTGTTTATCCTCATTATGTTAGGACATGTAAACCCTGACTGCAGTGTTTATCCTCATTATGTTAGGACATGTAAACCCTGACTGCAGTGTTTATCCTCATTATGTTAGGACATGTAAACCCTGACTGCAGTGTTTATCCTCATTATGTTAGGACATGTAAACCCTGACTGCAGTGTTTATCCTCATTATGTTAGGACATGTAAACCCTGACTGCAGTGTTTATCCTCATTATGTTAGGACATGTAAACCCTGACTGCAGTGTTTATCCTCATTATGTTAGGACATGTAAACCCTGACTGCAGTGTTTATCCTCATTATGTTAGGACATGTAAACCCTGACTGCAGTGTTTATCCTCATTATGTTAGGACATGTAAACCCTGACTGCAGTGTTTATCCTCATTATGTTAGGACATGTAAACCCTGACTGCAGTGTTTATCCTCATTATGTTAGGACATGTAAACCCTGACTGCAGTGTTTATCCTCATTATGTTAGGACATGTAAACCCTGACTGCAGTGTTTATCCTCATTATGTTAGGACATGTAAACCCTGACTGCAGTGTTTATCCTCATTATGTTAGGACATGTAAACCCTGACTGCAGTGTTTATCCTCATTATGTTAGGACATGTAAACCCTGACTGCAGTGTTTATCCTCATTATGTTAGGACATGTAAACCCTGACTGCAGTGTTTATCCTCATTATGTTAGGACATGTAAACCCTGACTGCAGTGTTTATCCTCATTATGTTAGGACATGTAAACCCTGACTGCAGTGTTTATCCTCATTATGTTAGGACATGTAAACCCTGACTGCAGTGTTTATCCTCATTATGTTAGGACATGTAAACCCTGACTGCAGTGTTTATCCTCATTATGTTAGGACATGTAAACCCTGACTGCAGTGTTTATCCTCATTATGTTAGGACATGTAAACCCTGACTGCAGTGTTTATCCTCATTATGTTAGGACATGTAAACCCTGACTGCAGTGTTTATCCTCATTATGTTAGGACATGTAAACCCTGACTGCAGTGTTTATCCTCATTATGTTAGGACATGTAAACCCTGACTGCAGTGTTTATCCTCATTATGTTAGGACATGTAAACCCTGACTGCAGTGTTTATCCTCATTATGTTAGGACATGTAAACCCTGACTGCAGTGTTTATCCTCATTATGTTAGGACATGTAAACCCTGACTGCAGTGTTTATCCTCATTATGTTAGGACATGTAAACCCTGACTGCAGTGTTTATCCTCATTATGTTAGGACATGTAAACCCTGACTGCAGTGTTTATCCTCGTTATGTAGGCCTACATTAAACTTGTATGTTAATATTTGTTAGCAACTTTAGTTAGAATACTGTAAAAAAAATTAGGAACAAAATCTGGTAATAGTTTAATACCTCAATTATAC